AGGGGCTAACGGAACAAGGTAACGACGCCGTGAATCACCATTTGGTAACGGTCTGTTTTGTCTAGCGAGATGTTAGCGAAACAGAGTTGAACGAGACCAAAATACTTCAGTGCCAACACGTCCTGGAGCCAGATTCACGAAGCAGTTACACGCAAGCACTTACGAACCTGTACATCTTTTCTCAATCTTAGTGAGAAGGTGCAGGTGTATTTGATTGATAGTGTAGGTGTATTTGACTGATAGTGTAGGTGTATTTGAATGATAATGAAGGCGAATTTGATAGCGCAGGTGTATTTGACTGATAGTGTAGGTGTATTTGACTGATAATGGAGATGTATTTGACTGATAATGAAGGTGAATTTAATCGTGTAGATGTATTCGACTGATAGTGTAAGTGTATTTGACTGATAATGCAGGTGCATTAGAGAGAGTAGGTGTATTACTGATAACAGATTTATTTTCAATATTGCCATGTTACAAGCACATGCAGTCATATCTAATTTAAATGTGTGACCATATCTTCTATTTCAACGTTTGGTCATTATACGTGTCATCATTTATGGTGATAGATGCGTGAAATCGATTCTGAAACTCACGGTAAATTATCCTTTCCGTTGTTTGCCGTCTGTGGTCATTACAACCGTGGGAGGAACACGGCCATTATTGCTTATCTAAGCGTGAGGTCATTACGTGCACTGGATGTATGTGTGTGTGTGTGTGTGTGTGTGTGTGTGTGTGTGTGTGTGTGTGTGTGTGTGTGTGTGTGTGTGTGTGTGTGTGTGTGTGGTCATAACTCTCACGGAAGGTGGGGTGGTTACTACATTCGCCATGGGCATTATTTTGATGGTGAAATAAGGTGTCTTGTCTGGAACATGTAACACAGATACTGTCCTTCAGAGTGTTGTATGTCAGTCTTAAATTATAGGTTACATGCACGCAAGCGCTCATGCACACACACACACACACACACACACACACACACACACACACACAAACTATTTAACACAAGGGGCACACGCACAAGGGGACACAGGTGGAAACTGAGTGCCCAAATGAGGCGCAGAGATATTAGAAAGAACTTTTTTTAGTGTCAGAGTGGTTGACAAATGGAATGCATTAGGAAGTGATGTGGTGGAGTCTGACTCCATACACTGTTTCAAGAGTAGATATGATAGAGCCCAATAGGCTCAGGAACCTGTACACCTGTTGATTGACCGTTGAGAGGCGAGACCAAAGAGCCGAAGCTCAACCCCCGCAAGCACAACTAGGCAGGTACAAGTAGGTAAGTACACACACACACACGTACACACACACGTACGCACCTTTAAGACCTCAAGCAGATATCACTGAACTAAGTGAACATTACCGTTTATGAATGCATTTCGCATTCATTAACAGGGGGTTAGTAGGCAAGATAACAAGCTTTTGGTCCTTGTTGATTAGGACGGGCTGGGAGCTTTAATGGATGTGTGATTCGAACACTGAAGCAAGAGGTTCAACAAGAGTTCGAACCTAATCAGTTGTGAATAATGTGTAAAATGTATTTCATTCCTGAATAGACGTTATGGTGGCTAGATTAACGAGGATTTGACCTTAGTGAGGATGTTGAGTCCACCCAGCCGCTAAACACTTTGTTTTTAAATGAAATAACCCATTCTCAGACTAAGTCCATTCCATCCAGTGGTCGACCCCAATGTATATTGTATATTATATTATATATATATATAGGGGTGGAGGGGGAGATGAGGTCCCAACGTACCAGTATCCAGCTAGTTATACAACTTTCACCACTTCATACAGCCAATTGTACGGAATTCCTTACGCTATCAGACCTATCTGAACCCTTTGGGAGCTTTGGTGAAAGTTCTAAGCGCTCCAAGTTGTAGACTTAACATCTGAAGCGTCCACAAGCAAGAATATTAAGTTTGGAACAAGTTCTCTCACTGGGAAGGTAGAAAGCGAGAGAGAGGATACTCCACAGAAAGCTCTGGAGAGCATTAAAGTAGTTCTTGAGAACATTAGATTCTATTCTGGTTATTGCAACATTAATAAGTTGCAATACAAGTTGCAAATCCATTATAAATATTTATATTTATATATATTTATTTATTTCTACCGGTGTGCTTATCCAGTTCCTTCTCCCACACTGTGAAACTCTATGAAGAAGCAAATGAGAAAGCTGTTAAGAGCTGGTAATGAGGAATGAATTGTGAGAAGAGGCAAAGTGCGAGTGGTAAAAAATGAGTAATGAGAAACTATGTGCAAGGAGTGAGAATTTAGTACGGATGAAGAGAGAGAAAAAGGGAAAAGTGAGGTACTAGCAGTGAGAAGTGAGGTACTAGCAGTGAGAAGTGAGGTACTAGCAGTGAGAAGTGAGGTACTAGCAGTGAGAAGTGAGGTACTAGCAGTGAGAAGTGAGGTACTAGGAGAGAGAAGTTAGAAGTGAGACTCATGAGCCGGGATTCAACATAACTGCGTCAGAATATTATAATATTTTTGTTTTCCTCTACACCTTCTTTATCCACAGTTTCCTCTCCCTCCCCATAACCGTCTCCCTTTCTCTTCACCTTGATTCTTAACTTCCTTTCTAATCTCTTCTTAATCTTATCTTCCGTCGTTATTCTGCAACTTCCTGAGGTAAATATTTCCTTGTATGGCCTTGTGTTCGTGTGTAGCTGTGTCATGTGTGTAGCTGTGTCATGTGTGTAGCTGTGTCATGTGTGTAGCTGTGTCATGTGTGTGTAGCTGTGTCATGTGTGTAGCTGTGTCATGTGTGTAGCTGTGTCATGTGTGTAGCTGTGTCATGTGTGTAGCTGTGTCATGTGTGTAGCTGTGTCATGTGTGTAGCTGTGTCATGTGTGTAGCTGTGTCATGGTGTGTAGCTGTGTCATGTGTGTAGCTGTGTCATGTGTGTAGCTGTGTCATGTGTGTAGCTGTGTCATGGTGAGTGTGTAGCTGTGTCATGGTGAGTGTGTAGCTGTGTCATGTGTGCAGCTGTGTCATGTGTGTAGCTGTGTCATGGTGTGTGTGTGTAGCTGTCTCATGGTAGCTGTGTCATGTTAGCTGTGTCTCACAGGGGAAGGGGTCTGTGTAACAGCAAGGTGTAAATATGGGACAACTACAATCTTAGAAGACTAGGAGAAGTTTTCTGCTGCGGGCGAAGGTGTCCTGTTATCAGGACGAAAGGTTTACACCCTCCTTATTCTTATCTAAATCTTTTTAAGGTTTAGCTACTCCCCTGTTCCGAGAGAGAGTGACTTATCGTGCCAGAGAAACTTCATTCCAAAGTGCAATTTTCGTCTCAGAAGAACGAATTTCCGAAGAACGAATCCCTATCCATCCATGCAGAATAGAACCAGTGAAGAGCAGAGGTGCCATAGACACAATCAGAGAACACTGTATAAACATCAGAGGTCCGCGGTTGGTCAACACCCTCCCAGCGAGCATAAGAAATATTGCCGGAACAACCGTGGACATCTTCAAGAGGAAACTAGATTGTTTCCTACAAGGAGTGCCGGACCAACCAGGCTGTGGCAGATATGTGGGCCTGCGGGCCGCTCCAAGCAACAGCCTGATGGACCAAACTCTCACAAGTCAAGCCTGGCCTCGGGCCGGGCTTGGGGAGTAGAAGAACTCCCAGAACCCCATCAACCAGGTATATGTGGGCCTGCGGGCCGCTCCAAGCAACAGCCTGGTGGACCAGGCTGTTGCTTGGAGTTATATTAGTATAACTCTCGGAGGTCAAGCCTGGCCTCGGGCCGGGCTTGGGGAGTAGAAGAACTCCCAGAACCCCATCAACCAGGTATATGTGGGCCTGCGGGCCGCTCCAAGCAACAGCCTGGTGGACCAAACTCTCACAAGTCAAGCCTGGCCTCGGGCCGGGCTTGGGGAGTAAAAGAACTCCCAGAACAACACGACAGCTACCCTGTCGTAGCTCAGTCGATTAAGGCAGTGTCTGGGATGCTCCCGGACGCAGGTTCGAATCCTCGTCACAGCCCTTGTGGATTTGTTCAACACATCACAGCATCTGTGAGTACACACATGACACAGTCCATTGCAAACATTCGCGTTCACGAGTCAAGCAGTTACATGCAAGAGGAAAATATTTTCAGTCTTATGTTTAATGTTGTTAGCTGTTAATACATAAATATTGTCTGCAAGCGCATTAATATGTCTTCATTACAGTGAAACTTTCCTAAATCATGAACAATGTTTCTGTGGGATTGTGACATGGAAGAAAATTAATACTTGTGATTCGCATGAAATGTGACTTGAGAATTCCATGAGAGAAACACTGAACTGAGTGTAAAATACTTTTGAGTGCCCACTTGAGACAGAGAGACAGAGAGAGAGACAGAGAGACAGAGAGAGAGAGACAGAGAGAGAGACAGAGACAGAGAGAGAGAGAGACAGAGAGAGAGACAGAGAGAGAGAGAGAGACAGAGAGAGAGACAGAGAGAGACAGAGAGAGAGATAGAGAGAGAGACAGAGAGAGAGACAGAGAGAGACAGAGAGAGACAGAGAGAGAGAGACAGAGAGAGAGATAGAGAGAGAGACAGAGAGAGAGACAGAGAGAGAGAGACAGAGAGAGACAGAGAGAGACAGAGACAGAGACAGACAGACAGAGACAGAAACAAAGGAGACAGTAAGATAAATGTACATATATATAGACAAATAGAAGCCAGGAATATTTACAAATCTACTGAATCGTTCGAGATAAAGTTATCAGAGAGAACATTTACCCAAAAGAACACACACACACTTCCCATTATAACAAACATAATATCAGCAATAATACAAATACAATTGCTGCTAATACGAGTTTGTAAGAAGCAGTAGATATAAATTCTTGGAACGCGACAGAGGTAAACAGAGCCATTGAGAGCAGCAGAAATGTAAGCATTTACGCAAACTGAACACAAACACTTATGTAAATTATGCATAAACACTCATAAAAATGGAATGGAGGCGGATTTTTACGGGAAAAAAAGCTTACCTACTTTGCGTATGATGTTGAGCAAAGCTATACAGCTATGTTGCAGCCACTTCTGTTACGGCGCAGCTTTAGCTTAAGCCACTAAGCTGAAGCAGTTGACCTGTACAAGAACGGAATATAATATTAGTATTACAAAAATGGTTCTACAACAATTTATACTACACTAAAATTAATAGTTAAACAATAATACAATTCAATGCACAAAAAAGATGGGGATAATAATGCAATAATAAAAACAAAACAGCAGCGGTGAACGTCAGTAATACAGTATTGTATTTCGTGTTGGTTTAAGATGCTGCGAGATGCTAAGAAATTTGTCTTCATGTGGGAGATGGCCAGTAAAGCTGGTGGCCAATATATTTCCCGGGATGAACTGGCTCCTGTAGGAAGACCTTATATATATATATATATATATATATATATATATATATATATATATATATATATATATATGCAAACACACACACACACACACACACACACACACACACACACACACACACACACACACACACACACACACACACACACACATACAATACACACACACACACACACACACACACACACAGAAAAGAATGTTTGTCTAAGGTCATATGCTTGGGGCGAGCCTCACCTAACTTTTAATCATGTTTCATGTTGGGTTGGGGATTGTCATAGGCCAGCTGTAGTACCACAATTTGAGAGGTACCCGGCATCTAATTCCCCCCCCCCCCCCCCCCCCCCTCTTCCCCTATGGAGAGGTGGAAAGAAGGGGGGGGGGAGAATCGTGATATGGGGGATGTATTGGAGAATTGGGGGGGGGGGTAGGGTGGTGAGGGTGAAAGACATGTGGATATGACTTTTCTACCATATAAATATCCACCTGTTTATCCACCATATACAACTCAAACTTTGTCTCTAACTCATACCTATCCCACTTGTTATTTAATAAATCCCTATCCACCTGTTATCTTACATATACCTATCCACCTGTTATCTTACATATACCTATCCACCTGTTATCTTACATATAGCTATCCACCTGTAATCTTACATATACCTATCCACCTGTTATCTTACATATACCTATCCACCTATTCTGCATCTTTTATCTGTCCACAAGTTCTAAACCTTGTATTCTTTCAGCAAATAAAGTCTCTGTTTGTCAGGGCTTATTAGATCGGTAAACTGTTTCCAAGATATTGCTTAAATCTTCTCATATCACACAGATAATCTCTTTCCTTCTCAGTTTGTTTACTCCTGGGGAAAGGAGTAGAAATTTCCCGCGAAAATGTGGAATAATAATATTGAGAAACATGTATTTTCCTTTTCCCAATATTTGCTCATATAAAACACACGAGTTATTCGGTGGACTAATATATAAACAGACTATTTTCATGATTACACGATGGGTAAAAACATATCGTATATCAGATTATCCATAAAAATACTTCAGGAGTTATTGCTTAAATGGAAATTCGCGGAGGAGAAGTCATTAAGAGATTAGCTTATAACATACTGGATACCGGTCTTGAACCTTCCATCAGGAAGAGCACACTCCTGTAGCGTAATACACAACAATATTTTACACAAAATAGATTAAAAAAGAAGAGAGAGAGAGAGAGAGAGAGAGAGAGAGAGAGAGAGAGAGAGAGAGAGAGAGAGAGAGAGAGAGAGAGAGAGAGAGAGAGAGAGAGAGAGAGAGAGAGAGAGAGAGAGAGAGAGAGAGAGAGAGAGAGAGAGAGAGAGAGAGAGAGAGAGAGAGAGAGAGAGAGAGAGAGAGAGAGAGAGAGAGAGAGAGAGAGAGAGAGAGAGAGAGAGAGAGAGAGAGAGAGAGAGAGAGAGAGAGAGAGAGAGAGAGAAGGAGAGAGAGAGAGAGAGAGAGAGAGAGAGAGAGAGAGAGAGAGAGAGAGAGAGAGAGAGAGAGAGAGAGAGAGAGAGAGAGAGAGAGAGAGAGAGAGAGAGAGAGAGAGAGAGAGAGAGAGAGAGAGAGAGAGAGAGAGAGAGAGAGAGAGAGAGAGAGAGAGAGAGAGAGAGAGAGAGAGAGAGAGAGAGAGAGAGAGAGAGAGAGAGAGACAGACAGACAGAGACAGAGAGAGAGGAGAGACTGTGTCGTATATTCCATTGGCAGAAGCAGAGGAACACTTTTCTACTAAGTCCACTACAACAGAAGCCAAGTTGACTTTTCAGTATGCCACAGCAGAACTTTAGTTGCCTATTCTGTGAACTACAGAAGCAGCTTAGGTCCCTATTCAATAAACCCTAAGAGAAGTGTATTTGCCACATCATTAAAACATAGCAAAACATTCAGTTACCTATTCAGTAGTCCACAGCAGAAGCTAAGCTGTCAATTCAATAGGACAAAGGCTAAGTTCCCTATACAACCCTGGAAACACAAACCGAAACTGTCTCTATTTTCAGCTTGTTACAACTTGTAATAAAGTTATTACATCTCGCCTTAACGTGTTTATAACGTATTAGAACGTTGTTACAACTTGCTATATTGGTTGTAATAACTGGTTAGGTGTTAAAACTTGTTCGAACGTTGTACCAACGTCGTAGTTTCGGTGTGTGTTTGGCGGGAATAGACCACATCAAAAGTAAGCATAAATTTCCTACTCAATGACAGCACAAGCTCTGTTTCCTATTCAGTAGACCACAACGTAGACACATTATGTTCATTCAGTAACTCATTATATAAAAGTTTTGCTTCTTGTGACAAACAAATTTTGGGAGGTGATGGATAAACGTCGAATGTCGCTATTGGTCACGTTATACTTAATGTTTCCTTAAAGAAATTAAGTATTTCTTGAAAACCAGGGGCCAGATTCACGAAGCAAGTACTTACGAACGTGTACATCTTCCCTCAATCTTTCACGGCTTTGACTACATTTATTAAATAGTTATCAAACATGAAAAGTTCCCAATCAACTGTTGTTATTGTTATAAACAGCCTCCTGGTGCTTCGGAGCTCATTAACTGTTTAATAAGTGTAAACAAAGCCGCCAAAGATTGAGAAAAAGTTACAGGTTCGTAAGCGCTTGCGTAACTGCTTCGTGAATCTGGCCCAAGGTACCCAAACTACTGCTGTGCAAACAAGGGGAGCTTAACAGTATGGTGCCCAGTCAATCCTCCCTGACTAAACCCAAAAACTCGTTGTCCTTAATTTAGACTTTTCAAAATGAATATATATAATGGCATTCACCTGGGCTGTAGGAGTCTCGAACCGCGGCCCCACATGTGTTATTTTAATATATAGAAGTGTGTCAACACTCCGCCAGTGCACCAATCGGACTTTACAAGCAGCTACGATACTTTGTATAGCAAAGTAAGTCCTCTTGAGTCTTAAAATCGGTTTCTGTTTATCATAATTATTCTGCTGCATGGGTAACAGCTTCTCCTTCATATCAACCTACCTTGGCTTCGCGCCAAGGAGAGAACACTCAAGACTGACAACCAGAGAGTCTTCAGAGACTGCAGGATGCCTGCCACTACTGTTTAAACAATCAGAATTTGACAAGGGTGGAAAGAGCAGCCAATTTTATATCAACTTTCCTTAGTAGACATTGTAGACATTTTGACGATTAATTTATTACGTTTTTCATACAACAAACATCGAAAAGATTAGACTAAAACAAATTATATTCTCAGTTAACGTTTCGTTCTATATACTGCAAGTTCTAAAATAAAAAAATTAAATGTTCTAAAAAAGAATTGATTTATCTAAGAATATTAAACAATTGAAGAATGAAACTTCCCCCCAGCACTCACGGTACAAACAATTAGCAATGAAAGACTCACAAACACTCACAGCTCAACAACCAAATCAATAAATATACTCACAAACACTCCGTTTAGATGCTAAGCAAAAACAGAGTCACAGATACTCACCATTTAGTCATTCGCACAATAAGAAACAGAAACGGGACGCACAGAACCCCACCGTTTAAACAGATTAATAAAAGACAAAAACAGAGGAAACGGCAGAGGTCCCTAATTCATGTAACAATGCTCCAAATGTATATAAATGTATAACAATTTTATGCCTCGCTTTGACTTCGCAAAGCTACATTTAAACTGTACATCATAAAGCAGAACAATCGTGTTAGTGTTGTAAATGGAATGCTGAGATGAGAAGGCTGGTGATGCTGAGATGAGAATTCTGATGATGCTGAGATGAGAAGGCTGGTGCTGCCGAGATGAGAAGGCTGGTGCTGCCGAGATGAAAATGTTGATCATTATGGCTCATCTGGGGGCTGGGGCTTGATAACCTGCTTTCATCACCTGACTCTGAGAATTAATGTGAGTTTAGTTTTAAACACTCAACCTGAAATAGAACTAAATGCAGCAGCACCAGCATAATCAAGCACCAATAACAGAAGCAACAAATGAAGTATAGAAATAAAGCAGAAGCTACAAGAGAAGCTTCAGCATCAATGACAAAAGCAGCAGCAATTCTAGAAGCAGCAGCAGCAGCAGCAGCAGCAGCAGTAAGAACAGTAACTTGCCTGAGGCCAAATAAAGTGTTGGCGTGCGCCTTGCAGCCAAACTTAGGGTTGAGGTGTTTTCTCTCAATTCCTGGGGCTTGGGGGATGACCTTTCACCTTTACCCTGGCTCTGCCTCTCTCTCTGGCCCTGCCTGTCTGCCTCCCTCCTCCAGCATACCAATTTTAGACCTCTACTGGCTGTCATAAGAGAGCTTTTATTTTCCTTTCAGATCAAATAGAGGTTACGTTCGGCCTCTGCATTCGCAACACGCTCACGAAGAGCTCTTTAGGTCTCCATGTCACATTCAAGATGTTACAGGAAGACAGAAATCCTTTGATGGGTTTCCACGAGACTTAAGATCTCCTTAGAAGTCTGCTTTTTGTTTTAATTCTAACTTTATGTCCTAATGCTTAAAATTGTTCTACTTTGTGAGGGCGCAAATTAGTGTCTTAGACTTTTTTGATCGTTTTGAATCATGTTTGTTTCTCAACTTTTGGTTGTGAATTGTCTAGTTAATGCAAAAACTCCACACAAGAATGGGAATATGAATACATGATATACGGGTTTCAGGAGGGCTTTAAGCTTAATAAATACATAATTGTGTATGAAATATATTTCGACTTTTAATGC